CATTAATGAGTTTAAATAGGGACAATATTAAAAAATATAATTAATACCCCCACCAAGTGTTATATTAAAAATTAAAATTTATTTAAAAAGGTGCCTTATAATAGGAATTGGAGAGAATATTAAGAATAGGATGAAGTGTGTGTATATAATTTATATATACACTGGAATTTTTAAAGAGCTAAGCCAAGGGTAAGGCAAAAATTTTGCATGGCGTTGAATTGAATGATAAGTGATATGATGTCTTCATTGAATGTACAATTAACTTCAATAACTATTTAATTATGTCATGATGACTGATTGAGTTTGAGTTTAATTGATAACGAAGTGAAAGCGCGAAGTGATAATAATAATAATAATAATAATAATAATAATAATAATAGTAATAGTAATAGCAATAATGTCAAGAAAGAAAGAGAGTGGTGAGAATGGGAAAGACCAATTTGGTGTCACTGTTGAGATCCATGCATGGATCTCATTTTGGTTCTTTGCGAATTGCCATCATCAAGGAGTCACGTGCATATTATATACTATTCTGTAGCAAGTAGCGCTATTTATTTACAATTTTTAAATAATATAACTTGTTTTTAATAGAATTCTGAGTGCATGACTTCAAAACTAATTTTGTCCGAAATATTATTTTATTTATTATTAAATACATTTCAGTGCTGCATAGAATTTAAATATATATATATATATATATATAACTACCGAAAACTTAATTCAATTAATAAGAAAAATGTGTCTTCTTAATACAAAATCTCGAGTTGGGGCATTGTTGGAAATGCAATGCTTTAATGATAGAGTTTTGCTTCAAAGGATAAGATCTGTCTTAATTCAAATTAGTTTGAGCCCTACATCAAGTCCATTATTTAGATTTGAAGCAAACCCAAGATATCGAGTGCTTCACATAAAAAATATAAAAATAAACATGAGTCATATTATTTATAACTAGTATAACTTGTTATAAATTTTATGTTAGGAAAATATATAGTTAATTTTATCAAGGTTGTCTATGTTTCTGTAATGCAGGATATTATTTTGCGATTTATACACACAAAAGGAAAATACTTTTCCTATTATAAAAAAACATTTTGAGATTAAAATATTAAGAACGTTAAAGAGTTAAACACATCCTTATTTCTTGTTCTCTTACTTGAAATAATTGGTCTTTCTCATTCTCATGCATATATATTAATTGTTCTTGCTTAAAAGACCAACTTTTTATTTGATTATTTGATTGAGTCCAATTCAAATATTGTCAAATTTAAAATCTAAATGGTTCTCTTAAAAATATTTTCTACATTCATAATTTATTTCATTCAAACTTAAATCTAGAATCTTGTGTTTAATTAATCATAACCTATTTGAGTCTCTAGTAAGACTATCTCTCAATACTCAAGTGATCTAAAGCTAAGTTTTTTTTATCATTATTTTAAATATGAAAATAGTTATATGTGAGTGAGTGAGTGAGTTGTGAGGGGGGCCGGGGGGTGGGTGTTCCCCGGGGAAAGACACTGAGACCCCATCACTCCACCTGCCGACAACCAACCATGATTCCTCTATTAATTTTATTAACACTTCCAAAATAAATCCATTTTTTTTAATTTGAATTTTTTAATCATATTCTAATCCCACCAACATACTGAACTGGGTCGAGATTCCCTCATTCTTATCTCTGTTTTTTTACTTCTGTTTTTTACTTAGAGGAAAAAAAAACGTAGGAGATGAATATGCTTCTTCTATCAATTTGTCTGGTAATATAACCGTTAGATTATATATTACCATGAGAAGAACAAAGGCAAGAAAAAAAAAAAGGCTAAGGATTGGAGAATATGTATAGGACAAAAGAGATGATATACAATGAAGTGCAAGAGACTTTTTAAGACAAAGATGTAATTTTAATGATGAACCATGAAAGAGCAAAGCAATAAATAAAAATTGTGGACCTTATGCTTTTACCAAGCTGCACGTAGCCCGCACAGCAATTAGATAGAGCTTTATTCCATAATTTTTTTTTTTAAAAAAAGAGTGATAAATTAATGATTCAAAAGTTATGAGCGTAAAATTTAATTATAGTTTGATAGTTGTATTTAAAACTTAAAAGTTTTATATGTAATTGAAATTCTTAAATTTTTAATTACCTGTGTCAATTTTTTAACTCATTTTTTTTTCTAAAGCATTGTTGAAAATGTCATTATCATTGCCCATAAAAGAGAAGCGCGCCTTGATGCGCAATTTTTTTTTTTATTGCTTACCTATCAAATATAATCATATTTAAGGTATGACCAAATATTAAATATGAACACTTTTTTAGTGACTATTTGATCCTCAGGCTTTGTTTGGTTTAAAAGAAGGAGAAGGGAAGTGAGGGAGGGAGGATCCCCTAATTTGGGGGTGGAGGTTTTGGAAGGAAGGGGAGCAAAAATTTTTAGTCCCTTTCTCTCTCACCTCCCAACCAAACAAGCCAACTTTTAGTTTTTTTTACTTTACCTGTTTTTTATTTTTATTTCTTATATTTTTTTTAATATTTTAGATTTTTATACTTTTATTTTTTATTTTTTTGGATCATTTTAAGATCCTTGTACTTTGTTTATAGAAGGATTAAAAATAATAAAAAATAAAAATATAAGGACTTAAAATATTAAAAAAAAGTATAGAGATCAAAAGTAAAACGCAAATAAAGTATAGGATCAAAAATTATGTTTATCCTTTATTATATTATGAGTAACTAGCTTCTTTTACTAGATATAACTATTATTGATTTACATACGCATTTTTTTATTATATTGGTAGTTTATAATTCTTAAATGTGAAAAGGTTGGGAGGATGACCTTTTTTTGCGGCTCTTATTCCTTGGATCCATGAGTAATATTTTTTTTAAAATTTAATAACTTCTCGATTCTGATTTGCAAGGTCAAAAAAAGTGCTCAAACTATGACCAAAAAACAAATTAATTCTAAAATTAAAATAGGATGGCAAACTAACGTAGAGTTCCTTTTTATTGTAAAGAAATAAACATCATACTATAGAGTTACTTGTGGACAATTATTCTTCTTTGGTGGCATATATATACAGTGCATTCAGTGTAAAGAATCAACATCATACTATAGAGAGAGAATTTAAAAAAAAAAACGAGTGTGATCATGAGATGTGAATTTCATAAATATTCATATCATTTTCCCTTAGTATGTATGAATTCATGAATGAAATTATCCGATTTGAGAATCATATACTGGATAATATGTAAATATATTTATGAATACTTTTTGAGTTTTATCCTGATCCCATGATTCTTAAGACCTGATCCACTTAAATTTTTTTTTAAAAAATACAATTTAATGAGAAAGCATCATAAATTCAGGCTCAACTTTTTAAATTAGAGAATTTGAATTATTATACAAAAGTTATGCTACAACAATAATAAGTATTATTTTATTTAGTAGTGTCAGTTATATATATATATATATATATGAATGCATTACATAATGTCATTATTTCCATTAACAATTAACTTTTTTATAATATATTATTTACCAAAAGATCTGTTCTATTGGTTAATTCCTTAATGCCTCTTTTATTAGTGTGGAAGAATTTCTAATAGAAGTAGAAGTGAAAGAGAAAATGAAGGAGAAAATGAGATGGAAATAAGATTTTAAAACATATTTAGGATGTCATAAGAGCAAGGTTCACCCTTATGTGGATATTAACGACGTAGACTCAATTGTTTCTCTTCAAGGATTAGAAAGTCTCCTTTAATCTTATGTACAGGGAAGCTAACTTCTATGTTCATTTTTTAGCCGAGTATGCTAGTGATAGGATAGAGAATTTTCATACTTATCATCAACCTCCACTTTGTCTCTAGCTCAAGGCGATGGACGATGAAAAGAGATCTCTTTAATTTATTTTGTTTTGGCTGGTTGTGCGATCTCTTTGTACTAAAAAAAAGTTTGGTATTGAGTAATTTTTTATGAAGGAAGTGAGGGAAAAATGAATTCATAAGTATGAAAGTGGAGGTGAGTTCCATTGATTTTAATGGTTGAAATTTTTAAAAAAGTGAAATTCATTATCAAACAATTCATTTTTTCAGTTTTACTTCCACCTTCAACTCTCCAGTTCCAATTCTAATTTTATACTACCAAACGGGACATAAGTTTTCTTCCACTTCTGATTATATCTTCAACACTTGAATCTCCATCTAGAACAAATAATCTCATTCATGCTCTTATATTACCCCATGTCTATCTTTGTGACCATGTGAAATTAGGAACTGAATAAGTGTACTCATTTAAAAAAAATTAATCATTTAATCTTTAGAATTTTAACCGAGCTTCCCTAACATTAAATTTAAATCATTTAACAAATGGATCTCCATACTCTCAAAAAATATCTAATTTTTTAGGATTGAATTATACAATATATGGACCAACAAATTAAATAATTAAAACTTAGGTCTGATTTAGTTGCTATAAAGGATAGTAATAGAATAGATTTAAAAAATTAAAATAAAAATTAACTAAATTATCCTTCCCTTTTATAATAAATATGATAAAACTCAATTATAAATCATGACTTCTAACTTGATGAGCATAATTATTATTTTTTATGAATATAATTCATCTATCTTTTTCACATTTTGATCATCTTATTTTTATTTTTTAATTTATTTTATTTCATTCATTTTTAGCAAATAAACGAAACCTTAAAGCATATCCAACTGAGTTATAATGGAACTAAAATTATGTGGATTAATAAATAATTTTCCCTTTTTCCCCACCAAACAAGAGGCCCACATGAATTGAACAGGTTTAGATCATCGGACGGTGGGCAATTCACCAAACCAGCCTGCCTGGCGCCTTCCTCACGGACAGTATTATACTATTTTTCGGTCATTTAAATCCTCTTCTCTTCTCTTCTGTTCTGATACCACTGTCATTCATCGGTAGTACTTTGCCCATCCCACTTCCGTATTGTGCATCTCTGTTTTTTTTTTTTTTTTTGGTTTTCCAGCGTTGCAGATTAAGCTCCGCAGAAAGCGCTCTCCCCCCCGCTCTCTCTCACACACCCCCGCCAGCTGTAAAGCTCTCTCTTCTTCGTATTCAAATTTTCTAGCTTTCTCTCAAATCCCACTTTCTTCTCTCTCACATTTCACTAATCATCACTGTTTCTACATCTGGATTCATCCATTCTTCTTCTTCTTCTTCAGTTCATTCGTTTGATAATCTTTCCTCTGTCGATTTCTGGGTCTTTTCTCTTTGGTTCCAAGAAGAATTTTGTTGTTGGTAATGTTGGATCTCTTTCAAACCCCTATAGAAAACTAGTCCAGGCTTCTGAATAGAACTTAGTTTTGAAGTAGACCCACAAGATTCATTCGTCCGAATTTTCCGGGAAAACTACTGCTTTTTCTTTACCTTGTTGAATCTTTTTCGCAAAGGATGGATCTTTTTGTGAACTCATCTTGGCAGAAATCGAACAGATTTGAAACAGCTATATGGGCGTCGAAGCTTGTTCTTATGTCCATGGGGATACTGTCCACTCTGTTGGTGTTGAAAGTGGCTGTATTCCCATTTACGTTTAACCTCGTCGTCTCCATTTTTGCTCGTCTCTGGGTTTCTGCGAGAACCTTGCTTTCGCCGCCGTTTGTTTACGTCATCGTCAACTTCATCATCATCATCATTGTTGCTTCTTCCAACTTCCAACACAAAAGCTTGCCGTTATCTGATTCTCCACCAGATAATACCGAGCACACAACGCTGTCCGCCGCCATTACAGAACACGATGTGTCAGATAGTACGACGCACCAACTCGTGCCAGAAAACCAGACCACTGACCCGAATGAAGAAAAAGGAGTTGACAACGACGAAGAAGCAGAGGTTAAAGACTCTGTCTTGTCTCCGGCCAACGCGTCACCTGCGAAGAACGTAAGCAATGAATTCTCGCCGGATTCTGATGACTCACTTGATGGAACGTGGAGGGCAATCATGGAGGGGAAGGGGAAGACGGTGACGCCGATGCTAAAGAAGAGTGACACTTGGACGGCGACGATTAGGAAAGCAGAGCCATTGTTAAGCCATGGAGATGGTAAAGCAGGGGATGGCGGCGGCGACGAAGACCACGACGACGGCGATCCAGTGTCTTGGGCTAAGAGGGAATTGAGAAAGTCTGAAACTTTCAATGATACGGCGTCGTTGAGGAGGGAGAAATCGATGAGCCCAGAAGAACTGTACAAGAGAGCAGAAGCTTTCATAAAGAACTTCAATCACCAAATGAAATTGCAGAGGCTGGAATCTTACAGGCGTTTCACGGAAATGGTGAATGGAGTTTCTACTTAATTAATTAAATAATAATTAATGTGTTTAATCACTTGATCTTTCTTCCACCTTAAAATTTGACCAAATTTGAGAGTCTTTTGGAAGCTTTCCGACCTTTTGGAAGTTACATGTTCCGAGTCTGTTTCAGTTTCAGTTCAATTTCCTCACTGCATTGCCAATTCTCTGTTCTGTAGAATCCTCGCTATGAATATTATTCTGTAATCTCTGTACCAGACGAGACCTCTCCAAAAATTATAGTATTACTCATGTGGAATCTATCTATGTATAAAATTCTAGATTCTATATTAAATATCGTTTATCTTTTGGCAAAAACAAAAAAACAAAAACAAAAAACACATTGTTTATTGTTTGCTAGCTCTTCTACCCTTTTGCTAAGGAAAATTTCGTCTCCGAAAACGGCACTGTGACTGCTCTTTCTCTGTGTCTTGCATTTAATTCCAAAAGTGACAATGTCCTTCCATGGTAGTCTGGAGAATCTTTAAATATAATCCATTTATTTAAAATAGTAATAAGCGTAAGTGAATCATATTGTAAAATATGTTTTATTTATATAAATGAACATAATTATAAAAAGGGTTCAATCTATCAGTGTTCTATTTTGTAGGATACACTTTGAAAGTTTCTCTAAATCTGTAATATCTTTTAAGTTGCGGAAGCATTGGGGTTTCAACACGTGGCGAAAGACGTATAGTAGAATGTACAGTAACAAAAACTCTAGTTTTTAAACAATTATGCAGCTTCACCTACCAAACACTGAATAAGTGTATACCTAATCCCACAGACACATTATTTGATTTGGCAGTTTGGCTATTATCTTCACTCGTCCTTTCCTTCATTGGCAGGAAATGCTATGCCACATATTTTTACTGGTAAAAATGTGAAGTCAAGAGAATCATCCAACTCTGCGTGTGTGTTTTTTAAAAATATATAAATAAATGAAAAGGTGGTTAAATCATATGAGAACAAGGTTTCAAGTTTAAACCTGTATGACTTGAAGGAAAAAATAGTCCTTGAGAGAGCAATCCTTAGTGGATTGGATAATACTTTAATATGATGCAATAATATTGGATGTCAGACAATTGAGAGAGAGAGAGAGGGAGAGAGAAAGGAATCTATAACCCTTGTTTGTCAACCTCCTGCAACCAATAAGAGAACAGGTAGAAGTCCAAAACTAAATATCAAGCCTATGATCCCAAGTAACCTAATTTCTTTGATATCATTTTGGAACAGAAGATGGAAGCCAAGTAACATTATAGCCGAGAATTTCGCTGATGACCACACCGGCAGAGTCACTAGCAACTTCGTGTTTCCTCTTCATCTTCTCGTCAAGTTTTCTTTTGACACAGTTGTCTTGAGTTACCTTACCTCTATAATTTGCTATATTTTCTCTGTTGTCCGAAACTTTTCTCTAGTTGTCCAAAACGTGCTTGAATGACGAGCTCTCCTACACAATGAGATTGCCGGATTATTCTTGTATTTGTATTTTCAGGGGTTTGATTTCTAAAACAGCTCGTGTACTTTGCACTGGAGTAGTGCTTTCTCTATTGGTCACCGGTCCTTGCATGATAATTCTTAGGATTTAAGTAAGAAATCAATAGATTTTTTTATTTTAAAATTCTTGTATATAGTAAGCGAGGTAAGAAAATTGAAGATTCTGACATTTGTAAAATGGGTTGATCATAAAAAAGTTTCATCATATTGTTTGGTTTAAAATTAGTTGGCGCACCAAAGAAAATCAAACTGAAAACTTAACAAAAGAATTAAGCAATAAATAAACTTCAATTGATCAACTAAAGGGTCTTGTGGCTGAGTTATGAACCCCGCTTAAAGTCTGATCCGTACCTTTCTTTTTTTGGGTGAGACGATGAATGATGTTATAAAGCGAATGAAGGAGCTTGAAAGTTGAAAGCAAGGGTACGAATGAGTTGTCCCTTCAAGTTCAACTTACTCTAATATCTTTCATTAAAACTTCACTTATATATTTGGGTTTCAACTTTCTAGTAGTTACCTTATCAATGTCACTACAAGGATATTTAGTTTTAAAATTAAACACATTCAGTCATAGTGTGATAAACGAGCTATTTATGACTTGCAATAAATAACTTGACTTGTTATAGTTTTTATATTGATATATTAATTAATATGGATAATACATTATGGATATTTTGAATGAAATCCTAATTAGTATGCTTATCGTGATCAATACATAGCTTAATAAATAATCTTTTTTCTACATAGAGGATATTGGATACCTTGAATGACTTTAGTGGAATTGTGATCTACTCCATCTAGTGCACTTTATTGGTCACCTTCTAAAAAAGTGAAGTGATCCACTTTATAAGTCATTAAATTAATAGTAATATTTTATTTTAAATGAAATATCTAAATTATCTTTAAAAAGTAAGAGAGAGAGAGAGAGAAATAGAAAAATAATATATAGTTTATTTATTTTTTAAAGATTATGTTTGTAATTTTACTGAATTTCATTTTTTGTATTTTTGTTACATTGGTATTGATAAGGTTGGTAAAAATAACTTAAAAATAAGACATAAGAGAGTTTATAATATTTATAGATGGCAATGAACACTGAAACAAAAAAACCCCTCTTGATGTCACTAGAGTTGGTAAACAGGCGGGTCTAACCCATATGGGCTTAGGTCCTAAAGCTCAATTATCCTAATTTTATCTTAAAATTAAAGTCCGACCCTTATTTAAAGGGCTTAGGGTTGGGCCCGTAAGTCCGAATAAAAATAAAATAAAATAAAATTTAACATTAAAATTTATTTAGAATATTTTAAAATTTAACATACACCATGTCTCACATAATCTAAAAAATGAACAAAAAATTTAAAAGTTCAAATAAGATGAAGGCAAACATCATCATCAATCCTAATCAAGATCTCCCTCATTATCATTCAAAAATAAAATATTAGAACCCTAAAATATAGGTCTACTTGTGGAAGATTGAGGCGGAGATTTAATATCAATTATTTTTGCAGCTTATTCATCATCACCTACAATAATTATTAATTAAATTGTGTTATTATCAAATATATATCTATACATATATCACAAGATAAAATATAAAAATTACCATAAAATAGCACGAAACAATTCAACCAATTGGGGTACAAATCAATGTTTGCACATTATCTGTAAAGAGGTGAAAATGATATTTTGTGAGAACATAGGAGCCAATGCTAAATGCTAAAAATTTTCTTGGCCTGTGCTTCATACGATGCATTTTAAGTTAGCTAAAGGAAAAAAAGTAAAACGAGCTTCATGGGCCACCCGAGTCCGAGCCCATTTTTCTAAGGCTTAAAAGGGCCGGGTTTCGAAATTCGATTACTCTAACAAATATCAAATTTTTAAACTCAAATTCTTATTAAACAGGTTTAAATGGGTGACCTGTCAAACCCGACCTTTATTTTTAACTCTATGAACAAAATGTAATGATGGGTTAGGACTTAAAAGACACCCTACACCTACACGACCTCTCATAAAAGAGTAAGATTTTTTATATTTGATTTTTTTTTTTTAATGAATGAATCACAGAAGCCAGATATCCCATTCTCCATTTGTAAGATAAGTCTCATTTCAACTTGCACAACCATCCTCTGTTTCTTTCTTTTTTTTTATTATTATTTTTTTATCTCTTTTGTTTTTGCTTCTTGAAATTTGTAAGCTGGGGGAAAAAATAAATTTTGTATAGTTCAGCAACTAAGTATTCCTTTCGGCAATTAGACATCAATGCAATGCAAGGAGAATGGGGAAGTTGAGGTTTTCTCGTCAGTATGAGTTGTCTGCAAAACGGTAGGTCATGGCCATAATTACGTCAAAGAACAAAAAAATTAAGTCTGTTTAAAAATTTATTCTAAAAATAATTTTCTGTTCTTTAAAATAAAAGAATAAAAAAATAAAAAAATAAAAATAAATTTTAAATGTTCTATAATTATTATTTTAAAAAATAAAAAAATAAAATAATATTTATTTTTATTTTTTTTTATTTTTAAAATATGTTTTACAAAATATTAATTTTTAAAATAATAAAATAAAAACACAGTTAAATGCCCTTTACTTTCTCTTCCCGCGGAGGACCTTATAATAAGACCCAATGTTGGCATTGTCAAAGAACAGTCAAGCCATGATATGATTGCCCAGGCTACTCTCATAAAGGCAGGCTTTGAATTGGGAGCTGTAGACGGAGTACGGACCTGGTAATGACAGGGGCAGATGCAGCCTCTAATCTTATAGTTTATATGTGTGTTTTTTTTTTTTGGGTAAGATAGTTTATGTGTTTTTATGGCTGCAACATACTCATTCGATATATCCATTAACCTCATCAGTTTTAACGTAACAAAAATATAAAGAATAGAAGTTTGTAAAATTTTAAATATATTCTTATAAAATAAATTTAAAAAGTAATGTTATATTATTTTTTATGAATAGTAATTTTAAAAGTATATTTTAAATATTATTTAAAAAAATCACATCTTAACTTATAAATGAGACCTAATAATTTTTTTAAAATGTGATTTATAAATAAAATTAAAGGGAGTATCCTTTAATTAAAAAATCTTATACTCGCAAATCCATGTACTGGGGAACACTTCTTCTTTCTTCCCCTTCTAGGAGAAGCTTGAAACTAGATTGAACCAAGATTCTAAAAACCATCTCTATATGAGATAAAAGCTGAAGCTGCAATATTTTTTAGGCATGAACAAGGACTCATCCTTGTCCTAGTTTTAGTTAATTAACTTCCACCTTTTAATTTACTCATGCTTTTCTTTTGCATTTAAGATTAGTTGTTAGCATGTAAGATTAGATTTACTCCATCTGTTAAAAAATATAAGATATTTTTAATCAAATTTCACTCTTAATAAAATAAATACTTACTTTTAAACTAATCTTATTTTTTTATATTTACCTCTATTAAATATTTTATAATAAATATAAAATTATTCATTAATAAGAGCACTAAAAAAATAATAATTATACTTTAAAAATTAAAAATATTTTATATTTTTAAATAAAGAGAATAAATATCACGAGGGAGTGGGCCATAAACAATGTCTTCGAGTGGGCTCCAGTTTCCCTATGGAGCTACCCCACGGGGCATACTGCCTCATAGAAACATTAAATATTAAATAATGCCTAGGTTATCTGGAAAGGGGCAAAGGAATAGGACAAGACCGGCCAAATTAATTCAAATTTGGTTTCTTTTTTTTTTTGAGCAAAATTCAAATTTGGTTTCTCAAAACAGAGAACTAAACTTGAAAAATAGGCTAAACGCCCCCGCAATTATTTGAGCGGTGCAATGATTCTTATCATCTAGCACATCCACTTGGTGTCCCACTTGATATACTGAAAAAACAGTATGGGCTTACACAAACACAGGCTTCCTACTACATTGTGTTTATTGGTGAGGTAGTTGCAGCTATAAGAAATCTTCGGGTCGTCAAGATTCAGGCCTCATTAAGCCTGACCAGGCTGGAGCCCACTTTCCAATCAAGAAATACCTCAAAATTGGCTATGTTGTTCAAGACATCCCAAGGTTGTAGAAGCTAAAAGCAAACCAAGGCCTCTCGAATTAAAAAGTATCTGCTGCTCATATTTTTTAAGAAATACGACCCCATCTGTCTTTGTTGAAAATGAATACACTTACTTAATGTCTAATTATACTCTTTAATTAAGGGGGAAAACTGTCACAATTTTATTTCAAACAAGGTTTCATGATCGTTAGAATATGGGACAGGGACTTATCACCATTATATAGTATATACTCCTCGGACCTCGTATAGAGAAATTTTACCGCAAAAAGTATTTATTAAAGTATGAAAGATAGGAACTCCTACAGAGCCAAGTCACAACCATGTTAGCAGCAAGATGTAAGAGGCATATATCTAAGTTTCTTGGGTAGCACTTCATCTCATATCAGAACGAGGAATCGTCAAATGGTGAAAATCAAACCAGCATGAGTGTAAGAGAGTAGAGTACTGCCAGCGCAATCACCGGAACCAGTCCTTGGAACAGCCCTAGCGTATCCAACTTGATGTTATCAACGCCAGAAACAGGTACAGGTACATCAGCTGGTGGAGGAAATGGCAGAGAAGATGGAGAGGTTGGCACAAGAGAAAGAGGTGGAGGAGGAGATCTTCGAGGCGAAGGAGGAGGTTTTCTCGGAGGGAGCCTGGGTGTTGGACGACGACGATTAGCGTTGGTTCCATTGTTGGGCTGAGCAAGAACTTGGACCTGGAGCTTGAGTCCTTGTTGACAGTGCCCTGATCGGCCACAGACGAAGTACCTAATTCCTGGTTCAGTGAGTTGGATTACAGTCTCTCCATCATCGTAGGTGCCGATGGCGCTGGAGATTACACAGGTGTCATAACCAAGCTGGCTAACTTCCACCACGTCGTGGTCCGGCGTGTACGTGAACACTGACAAGTCAAATTGGAAATGCAGAAACGTAGTTAGACTCTGTTGTGGTTATTACTTCTTGTTTATACATTTTTTCTCAAGTATTTGTTCCATTCGATTTTATCCGGAAACGCATATCATCATCATTCATTCGCAAGATTTTGAGAACAAAACCGTTCAGGGCACTCAGTTCAAGATTGCTGCACGCTGTTTGGTTGGCAAGAAACAGAATGAAAGGAAAATATTGGTAACTAAGAACGAAACAGAAGCCACGTATATATTTTTCCATGAATTCTGTTCTTTTGTAATCATGTTGATTAGCCTGATTAACTTGTTAATTTACTGCTAGGTCTAGACTTAACGAATTCAGACTTAATCATTTTTGCGATCAAAGAAGATCAGGACCTTAATAATTAAGATGAGTAGAGAGCAGGAGAAAGCTTACCGAGATTGTCACCAACAAGAAAAGAGGTGGCCGCAGACCACAATTGGACATTCGAACTCAGGTCCCAGCCGGAAGGCCCGCCGACGGAGTGGTTGTATGCACAGACGCATCGGAAAAAGATCGAAGTGAAGATTATAACAACAAGAGCCTTCCCAGCCCACCCTGGTCTCGCTCCTTGCATTGTTCCTTCGAATCAAAGAAAGAAAAACGCGCGCGTAAATGAAACGATTATAGACATAGTCAGATTAACAGAGACTAACACAATCTTGATAAGAAATCCTGCTAGTAAAATGCCATGCAAAGTTTTGAATTCATTCATCGCTAGCGAAACATTTCCGAATCGAGAATGCTTTGCACAAACAACATCGAAATTAAAATGCAGGTGGTGCTTGAGATGAAGATAGGTAAACTAGACCGGGACTAACATGATCGGAATTATTAAAATGAGGTTTTGGATTGCGTAGCAAAATTTATGGAGGAAATAACAGAGCGAAAGAAAATCAGCATGGAGGAGGAGAAAATGAACAATGTGAATCTCAAAAAAAAAAAAAAAAAGCAGAGGAAAATTAAAACCTGTGCCGGATGATGCTACTGAAGCAGAGTGTCTTCTCTGTTGAGCTGCGCAGAAATGAGAATATGTCAGTATTGCAAGTCTTGAAATCTTATTGTCGAGTAGTGTGTAAGAAAGAGTACATTGATGATGGAGAATATGAATCTCTTCCCGCCTCAGATGGTGTGAGAGGGAGAGGGAGTGAGTTAACGACTTGACACTTATTAGTTAGAGTGGGTAGAATATCCTGCAGAGGCTCTTCCCATGCATCCGTGCGCACGAGAAGGGGCTAAAAGAGACAGATTTTATTTTAAAATGGAGTTTACTTCTTATATTTTACAAATCCAAATTTACGGCGAAGTCTACTTCCTGTCACTTTAAATTCTCCCCAGTATTCATTAGAATTGTTGTTTTTTTTTTTAAATTTTTGTGTGATTGTTCTGGTTTTTTTTTTTTGGGAAATTATATGGTGCTCTTGGTTTGCTTATGTTGTTTTTAGAAAAGATTATGCTCGTTCTTAAATAAAATATTAGGGGAGAAATCACTTAGCTTAAAAATTTAATTTCTTTTTTGGATAAATATAAAGAGTGGGTTGCATAGCAAAAAATATATTAGGGTTGGGGACCACTTTCAATTAAATTGGAACATATATATAAGGGTTGGGTTTGAATCTCAATAAGTTGTTTAAACAATGAGAGCCTCTTAACATTTAAAATATTGAAAGTCAGATCAATCGTTAAATTGATTAAGATATTAATTCAAGGGTAGTGGCAAAATCATGATCAAACCAATTTTAAACAAAATAATTATTAAACCTGTCACATTCATTTGACGATTTAATTATATATATAATTGCACTATTCATGGATTCCTCTCTTAAGACCAAGATTTTAGTTTTTAAAATTCCAATTTTTCCTTTTTCCCTTCTGGGACCAAAAGTTAGCGCGACTTCAGTCCACAGTCTTCACGCTACTGAACAGGCCATACACACACACACAGAGGAGGGCGGTAATACAAAGGAATGGTATATTAGTATTACATACTCAGATGCTTTATCTCAAAAAAGACAGGTCTCCAATACGATTGTACTACTAGAGAAGCCAAGAGCGCCAGAGAAGGAGGAGGGTTTCGCCTCAGATGGCAACGACGTCGTCTTCCGGCGAGGAAGCCAAGAACAAGGACGAGAAGAAGAAGCTGGGGTTGGGTTGGATTGAGTGGTTGAGAGGGTGGTTCCTCTTGGCTTACGAAATGCTATTTCAGAGAATAATGGCTAGTCACTTGCCAAACCCCATGCCTCTTCCCCCCATTAATGATCTCACTTGCATTGTCACCGGATCCACTAGTGGCATAGGCCTCGAAATCGCCAGGTTTGCCTTCTTTCTTTGCCAATTTTTGCTACTTCTTATTTTCCCATATAAGCAAACTGGGATAAAAGAAGCTGAATTGGAAGGAAGCAGGCTAAGAGAGAATGTACTGGAACTGCAATTATCTAAAAACCATTTCGGCTTCCTGCTTCTCCTTGGTCAGCTAGGAGATTTGTAAAGGTCGACTAATAGATAAGACTGCAATTTTTGTTGTTGTTTAATTATGGAGTTGTGGACACTTCGGGAAACTGGGATTTTGCTGTGTTTGTTCCAATAAACCTTTGTTAAGGAAGGCCCTTGCTAATAGTATATGTAGCATATTTACTTATTTGTGTTTCGTAGTCCTACATTTACAAGGCAGTCAAGCAGAGCCCGCGTAGCTATTTATTTAATTTATGTGTGCCCCTTTTCATTTATAAAAGGGGGGGATTTATGAACTGGGACTTTTGTTATTCTTTTATCATGCAGGCAACTGGCTCAGTCAGGGGCGCATGTCATTATGGCAGTGAGGAAGCCAGAGGTGGCTCAAGAGCTGATACAAAGGTGGCAGAATGAATGGTCAGGAATGGGTCTTCCTCTCAATATTGAGGTAACTTGAATGATCATTAGGGACTTCAAACTTCTATCAATGAGCAAGGTTTGCTAAATTCTGTGTGATGTATGAAAATTTATATATGTTAGCCTTATTTGTCAGCTTACTTTTGGCAATTGATCGTAATAATTTCAAACCAATGAGGCACTTCTTATCTTTGAAATATGTTGTGTTTTAAAATTTTAAATAGATCATCACAGGCTCTTATCAGTTTGGCTAAACTTGCATATGTCATAGTGTAATTTTAGTTGTTAAATTCTTTTGTTGTTTGATCGGTACCTACTTGTGGCTTCTCAAGGTGATGGAGGTTGATCTTCTCTCATTGGACTCTGTTGTGAGGTTTGCTGATGCATGGAATGCACGCCCTGGGCCCCTACATGTTCTCATTAATAATGCTGGAATTTTTTCCATTGGAGGTCAACATTTTTTGATTTAATAAATATGATGCTGAATTTTATTTGCAATTTCATATTCCTATTGCTTTGAACTTAAAACATCTCCAATTATTGACTCTTCAATATATATATATATATATATAGAGAGAGAGAGAGAGAGAGATGTTGAATACTTAACTGTAGTTTATGAAATCGCATACTTTGTCATTTATTTTTATCAACTTTTTGGGTGATACAATAATAGGATTAATTTAATGATAGGTACTTTTGCATTAATTCTCATTGAATATCTCTAAAACTGACCCACTCACTTGTTTCTCGTCTTATTTAGAGCCACAAAAATTTTCAAAAGATGGTTATGAAGAACACTTGCAAGTGAATCATCTTGCTCCGGCTTTGCTTTCTGTCCTTCTTTTGCCATCCCTTATTAGGGGTTCACCAAGTCGAATTGTTAATGTGAATTCCATTGTAAGTCCCATACTGTTTAAATTTATCTTGCATGCACATGGTGTGATTAAGCACCTAACTGTTTCTTCTAATGTTTTTGATTAAACTGCTAGAACTTTTATTTATCAGTTTTTGTTTAATAAATTGAACTTTATCATTCATTATCTTTTCTTTTGGCATAATTTCGAAATGAATTTTATTGTTATTATCTGAACAGACATGCTTTGAAAATTAATAGTATATGTTATTCCTTTTAGTGTTTTTTTAATTCTTTGTGTGCTAATTTGATTTGGAGCATGCAAATGCTCGATCATCATATTCTCTGTCTCAACTATTTCTTACCATGTAGAACATAATTTACAGATCATTGGTTTAGTTGGAAAATTCCAGTGAAATGGTTCTGAGAAGAGTATATGACTTACGTTAATCGTCTTGTCTATGTAATTTGCATGGCTTAATACTCTTCTAACCTGTGGTATTGACTTTTGGGGGTCATTTGTTTGATTTCAACAATTGGAAAGGATAGTACGTATGAAACTGGCTGCCATATAATGTCAAAGAACCAAATTAAAAAAGGTTTAAAATTAGTAAATAAAGAGATGAGAAAATTTTCTTTGTGAAATTATTAGAAGTCCTTTGTTCTCAAATCTTCAGGTTTTCCATTCCTTTTCTTGAATCTAAGTGTTGAAGAATACAACTGAATGGGCTCTCCGTCTATTGCAGTATCTGGAAACTCCTTCTGCATAGTCAATTTCCATCTCATGTTTATCTTCCCTTTTTGGGCTAAATTTGTGCTTATTTCAGTGAAGCTAAAGACACTAAAGCTTAGCACGTTGAAGTACAAGTTTCATTTTTGAGTATCCATTGATGAAACAGAAGAGAAACATATTTCTATGTATTTGTTTTCCTTTTCACCAGGGCTTGCTAGTCTTTTCTATAAAGCTCTACAAACTCGCAGATGTTTTCTTCGTTGTGATATTTTTATTATAAAGTTATGTTATACAAAATCTGACTTTTTATTAATTCATGTATTTCAAGTACTAAAAGTCAGATGATTTTGGGAAAGAAAACATTTTAAACTAGTGTTTAGTGTAACACAGAGCTTGTTATTTGATATTTGGTATATACTCCAAATTCTCTACTAGTCTGATATTATTCCTTTTATTCTGTTCCCTGGCTTTTGTTGCCATGGACATTGCTTTACTGTTCCATGGCTCTCTACTAGTCTGATGTTAGTCTGTTTACTTTCATTCCTTCACCCTAATAAATCTTATTGGGTGCTTTGTCCATTTTCCTTTATGTAGATGCATCATGTTGGCTTTGTTGACCCTGATGACATGAATTTCACTTCTGGAAAAAGGAAATATACAAGTATGTTGGGGTATTCTAACAGCAAGCTGGCACAGGTGCACTTACCCTTCAACATTTTAAACTTCTGATGGCAAAGGCTGAGAAGCATTTTTGAAAATTTTATTTCTTTTCGTTTATTACTATAAAAAAAAAAATATTTTGAAACCTGCCTGTTTAGGTTTTGGATATTTGAATTTTTTGAATATGGGATTTTCAATTAAACTTGGTCTCTTAAAAATGTGAAGTTATTGCTCTTTGAACCGTGCAGTTACATGGTGGCATGCATATTAACGAAAACATAAAACTGATTATATATATGCATTAGCTTACCATTCATATTCTTACTGCTTATGTTTTGATTTCATTTTATGCAATGCGATAAAGTGTTGAAATCTCTGTTAACTTTCTGATTCTATTAATAATAAATAGGTGTGCAGCCCAGTTTTCTGTTTCTTACTAATTTAGTTCATTTAAATAAATGTTGTTATCGTTTTATTTTACTAAATTTTATTTGATTTAAACTGCAAATGCAATGAAACCTAATTACCTATTTTTCTATGGATACAAGTCCATTTCATTCTTCTTTCCAGCCTTGAATTACCAATGCTTCAATGCCAGCAGCACCAGGTGTGAGACAAATTAACCTCAACAGTTTTCCTTAAAACAAAAAAGTGTTGAGGGAGAGCCTATCATTTTTCCTATTTGGTTTCGAAATTCATATGGAGACAAATTGGAAGGAAAGAGAAGAGCTAATGCCATGTCCATGTGTTGATTTGTTCTGACATAGATCATAAAAGCTTAGAGAATAGGTAGTATTGCAGATTAAATTGTACGGGAGATTGTGAATCTGAAGTAGGTATGTCGTGAGATAAAAAAAAAAAAAAGAAAATGCAGACAGGAGCCATTCATGAATCTAATTCCTTGTATTGCCCTTCCTTTCCATTCTTTCTTTTTATATTTTATTGATAATTTATAACTTGTGGTTGAGGTTGGGGAATTGAAATAGCAGCCTCTGATGTCAATACTATGAATCATATTAC